ACCAGTCCAATACTGCATTGCTTCATTATTCAAATTCTGCTGACAGTCTATCTGATGTTTCGATCAGCTGTTAATATTTAATTGTTAATCCCTGTTTGATTTAATACTGACACTGGTTTCATGCAGGATTCACTCCTCATTAGCTCATTATCAGGTCACAGTGCAGATCTATTCTAGTTTAATTGTATATTCATTAGTGAGAAACCTCCCAGAAAGTAAACAGGACTTTTTTTTTCTTTCAAAATCAGAACCAGTCCCTAGGGCTAAAGATGTATCAGGTGAGCTCAGTTATTAAGGTAGTTGCTTAATACCTACCTGCATTCCATTCAGCAGCAGCTCACTAGGAATGACAATAGACTGATTTTCCCCTCCTGATAGCCATTGACGGCTTACCAGGGGTTTTTGCTCAATTGCAATTTCCAGCTAAGCTGAGGTTCAACATTTAATCCATCAGTTCCAACAGTTTTTTAGGTTTCTCCATATTTTCACTAGCTTATAAGGGGTATTTTTCTGTGTTTGGGCACCTCAGTCTTCATTTCCCAGGGCATAGGGAGAGTCAGGGATTTAGCTGAGAGCTGGGAGAAGCACCTTTCCTCCCTGTGTGCCTGCCCCAGGGTGCTTCCTTGAACTGGGGCTCCCCATTGTCCTCTCCCCTGACAGCTCTGTGCACTCTGCCAGGGATCCGGCTGGCTGCAGGTTATGGAAAGCAGTGAAGGGTTTAGGTAAGATCTTTGCTAAGTTGATTCCATGCATTACAGATAGCTATTGATTTCCCATTTTGATACAGGCAAGTAAGGGAGATAAAAAAATGGTATCTGCAATGGCTGTCCTTTTCTGCTTGCAGCATCTCATCTTCTCCCTGCCTGGATCAGCCTTGCTCATGAGGGCTTTTAATATCTCCAGCTGTAATTAGTGCTCACTCTTACTGTGACCTTGTGAACTAGGCTATCTCCTACTGCAGCTGCATCAATGTTTCCCAAGACACGGATTTCTTGCCTTTTCACAGACATTGCCATGTCATTTTGGTGTGAATTCAGTAGATCTGAACAATTATTTCCAGTAGACAGGAGTAGCAGTGCAGAACTGTGTTTTTCTTACACGCTGTAACATCAGTGGGATATAATAAACACAGTCGCCTTTGAGTGGCATTGGCCAAGAATCAAACAAAGCCAAGACAGTGTCGTATCTCTCTAACCCACATCCAGGTTTTGTTCAGGTGTTTTGCCAAGTGACCTGCTTTGGCTCCTGTGAGGGGAATCACTGCTGTCCTGCAAGGACACACAAAAGGCAGCAGCACAAATAGGAGCAGCCCTTGGGCATGGGGGAGTGATTCTGGAGGCTGCCTAGACCTTTGCTGGAAGCTGCAAAGCTCCGTGTACCCCTGCAGCTATGCATCTTCAGCAGCTGAAGACTTTGTCCCAGCTTAGACACAACTACTTAGAGTCATTTCATAAACTTTCCAAGAGAGAAAAGTAAAATTCTACCAAGAACGCAAGGTTTTCTCTCTCAGCTGGGGCTGGACTCCCACAATTTCCTCTTCTGCATCTGTTAAATATTGTGGGCAAGTGATTAATGACTGAAATACTCTGTCCAACCGCCGTTACGGCAGCGAGAACTATTTTCTCCCCGTAGCTCCTGGGTTCCTGCTGTAAAATGCCTTTGAGCGAGGTAGAAAAGTGCCCGAATTGTGCCATCTAGTGACCCAAAGAGAGCGGGCATCTGTCCCCAGTCCCCTGCTCATCCTCCCTGCACAGAAGTCTTCAGCCTATAATGCAGAATTTTATATGATAATTACAAAAAAAAAAAAAAAAAAAGCATATAAATTATTTTCCCATCCTTCATGTCCAATCCTCCTGGCACTCCAAACTGATGCCCTGTTATGGCTCAGCTACCTCTGGTTTTGCTCTATTTTGCCTGAGAGCCACTTTATGATTTATTATTCAGCTCTTAATCTGCAGAGGAAGTCCAGCCACATGCCTCACCGCGTTCCCTTTGTCTTTGGCTTCCAGATGGTCACCAAGCAATTGGCTCCTCTGCCCTGCTCCCATTTCCCCCAACAAGTCTTGCTGATGACAAGTTTCCCCACAAACATATCTTCCTTCTAGTGCTTTCTGCTTTTTTTTCTTGAGCCGTTTGTCATTTCTTTTCAAAGTCAGCAGGAAGTGTAAGTCAGAGGACGAGTGGCAGCCAGAGAGTCACAGCAGGACAAGTGCTTTTCCAAGGTGAACCCTATTCCTAAGGTGATGAATTATAAGGAAATGGTTCTTCTTTCCTTGCAGTTCTGGAAACATCAGCTAAACTTCATTAACTGCCCTCATTAAGAGCTGAGTGCTTATAAAAATATCAATTACCCAGCAAAATCTCTGCTTGTGTAAGAATGGGAGCACAGGTCTGGAGAAACCTTGTCCATTTTGCTGGAGAACACGGCAGTGAGGTGGCAAGCTGGGAGAAGCAGCTTCCATAGTGAATAAAAGACTGGTGGGGCCACCCAAAATGCTTTTGTAGACGGAACAAACCCATCCTCTTCTCCATTCCAGTGACCAGGAAGCCAAGGACCAGGGCCCCTTCCTTTCCCTACCCCAAACCAGCAGCAGTATTAGTTTATGTCCTCCCCACAGCAACCCTACACAAACTCTTTTTTGCAGATTCCTCCTGGCTTTCAGCAGTTTTGGAAGCTCCTGTGGCTCCTGTCATGTTGCACAGGTATCACAGCACACAGGTTCTCCCACGCTGATGACTCCAGATGGAGCCTGATTTTGTGACAGCCACTAACTTCCTTTACTCTGAGCCACTTGTTGCAACTCGGATGGAATCATTTGATTCCTTTTGTGCATAATTAAAATGCCTCAAACATGAAACTGAACACACTTGAATGCACACAAGAGGCAGGGGAACAGACCCGTTCCCTCGAGTGTTTCTGTGTGCTCAAAGTCTTGCTTGCTCTCTGTTGGGTGGCTGGGGAAGGATTTACCACCTTGGGAGTCACTGGTCCCTGAGAAAGAGGGATGCAGAGTGGTTGGAGGCACTGAAATCTGAGCAGCCCTTGCTTGTTAGCCTCTGCAGCCATCTGATTAGAAGGTGACATTCAGTGAAATTAAAGGCAGCAATTTATTTAGAGCCAAGCCATTAATAAGCAGGAGGCAGTAATGTTTTATGCAGCACATAATGCAGACAACCTGTGGAGTTCTCTGCCATGAAGGGGTCACTGAAGCAAACAGTGTGTAGGTGGGAATCAAGTGACAGCTGATTTAATGCCCACTAACAGGCTATGCAACCTGCAGTGACAAACATAATCAAATCTCATGCTTCAGGGCACAAATTGAAGGGGTTGAGTGGTGGAAGCAGTTATGTACATGAAAGATCTGATCCTGAGAGGTGTGGATTACCTGCAATTCTTACCAAGTTCAGCCAGCAAAAGGACACTCAGAAGTTGCTTGATTTCTCCCCTAAGTCTGTACTTGATAATTTTCTTTATTAATAAACCTAGTAATATTTTAGCCTGCTGGCACAAACATTCATTTGGCTACAAGTGACATTTATTTCCTTTCACACAAGAGTCAAACATTAAGGATGCTTCTAAAATAAGATTTTAGGGAGATAATTTGCAGTGGTGCTGGCAAATAATTTTTTCTCAAAATATGTTGCAATTGTTTATCTAGAAGATGTACTTACGTAGAATAATTATGAGGCTATGATAACCTTTATTGCATTTATTTTCCCAGTTTCCTTCCTGAGCATGGGAACTGGTGCTAACCTCACTCTACAGGTGGGGAGGTGCTCCATGAGGCAGGCTGTGGGCTTCCAGTCATCTTTTGGGATTCTAATCCCAAGTGGACCCAGCTGCCCAAATTGGGCTCATGGCTCCATGGGAGCACAGAGCATGGGACCAGGGGTGACATTCTGCAGCAGGAGAGGTCTGACTGCACCCCCAGCCCTTGCCACTGAGAGAGCAGAGGCACAGAGGTCAGGCAGGCTGAATTCAGCCTTCAGTGACCTGCCCACGACAAACAAAGGGGAATCTTTGCTTTCATCTGGAATCCAGCTAAGGGGGAAATTCAGCATCTTTCTTCAGTAATTTGAGAACTAGTTAGGCTGATACCTCCAAGGAATGACTTTGGTTGAGCTGATTCTGCTTGGGCACGAGGCAGTCTGGATGGCTTCTTAAAGTATTTTTCCATCCTGTCTGCAGTGATCACCTCTTTCTCCTAATAGATTTCTCTAGCTAAATACAAAGTACATAAGCCCCTAATTCATGTCTGTGGGGAACCTCCATGTGGGTCCTGGGCCATTCAAATCCTTCTAGTCTGCAATGCTAGGACAAGAGTAGCTGAGGACAGTCACCATGAAATTAAGAACAGCTCAAATGAGCAAACTCACTTTTTTTTTTTAATGCTCTGTAACCAGCTCCTGCCACTGCTACTCCTTCATAATCCCCGTCTTCTGTTTTCTCTTCCCTGGCCATAAATTTGCTGCCTTTTGCACTAGACAAATCTGATATGTTGTGCTAAATATTTTAAATATGGCAAACGATCCTTCATCACAGAGTGATTGCATTGCAATGTATTAGAACAACATGACTTTGCCAGAGGGTGTTTCTTGGCACAGTGCCGAGTCAAGGAGGCAGCCCAAGCTTGAGAAGTAACTATCAAGTCATTTATCAACATTTGGTCCTAAAATACATGGGGTTGCACCAGCTCAAGCAGCCTTAGAGAGAGAAATCTAGAGGCTGAGCCAGAAACCCCAAATACAGACAGGCCTTTGAGGAAGCTTCTTGAAATCCAGAGATATCAAAATGCCAAGCTGAACTCCTGTGACAGACTCAACACATACTTTTGGCATTTATTCTGTTGAATTTAGTTTGGCCTTCAGGTTCAGATGAAATATTGCTGATTTTCAGTCTCTCGGCCAACCTGGAAAGGGCTGATTTGATCTCACACTCCTTTAGCATGATGGAAGACCTCTGATGAACCAAGTAGGATCACTGAAAGCCAATGTGGTGTCTAGAGCTTGTTTTCCTTCATAACATCCTCATAAGACGGAGGCAATTCAGTTTCCCCAAGGCTGAAGCACGGGGCAGGAGAAGAGGAAATCTCTGCAGCCATGCAGGGGTTCAGGGATCCAGAGAATGGGCACGGAGCTGCTTCAGTAGCTGGGGAAAAAGCAAAGTCACAACTGTACAGCAGACAGGCATGAAGGGCAAGTGTGGGAGTGAGAGGGGTGAGCCCAGGAGGAGCTGCCAAACCACTTGGAAACAAGAAAGGCATGGATGTAATTTTTGAAGGATGGCATCACAAAGTGTTTCACCACAAACTCCAGATACAAGAAGTTGGGACAGAGGAATTTGGGTGGGTTTGGGGTGGGTCCTCCCTGTCTGTGACCACCCAGAAAGCAGGTAATATGTCCTCTGGGAAGGGCTTAGGCTAATGACAGGATTAGCTTTATTTTTCTTGGAGGGATGTTGTCTGGCTCAGCCTGCTGATGCTGCTGGCCATACTCCAGGTCAGTTCTGGATGCTGCACAGTCATTATAGGCCAGTCCTCAAAATCTGTGTGCTTTTGGGGGAATGTTAAGGGTGAACAGCACCCACCAGGGTGAAACATCTCAGAGTGTATTAGCCAGTCGAGCTATTTACTGGGATGGCTTGAGTTAGACCAGTACAGTTTTGCCTGAGTGAGAGAGGAAGGACACATGCTGGAAAGGGCTGCTGACCCCAGAGCCTGTGGCTGCATGTGTTGGCATGCTGAGTGGCCTGGCACTGGGGAGAAAGTCCCACACACCTCCAGTGTTTGCCTGGCCAAGCCCCAGCTAGGCACCTTTGGGACACAGGGACACACAGGGACAGCACCAAGGTATGGCTCAGTGAAAAGTGGATGTGGCTTCACCTCCCAGTCCATGGTCTGGACATGTCCCCAAGATGCCAGAGCTGGGCATCCCCCTGTTCACCAGCAATGCAGCCCCTGGCTGCATCCCAGCTCCCACTCAAGCCTGACTGCTTTTTACTGGGTTATGGATGGGACCACAGGAAGGCCAGCAGGGCCAGCAGGACCTTGCAGCAGGGACAGGACTAACCACAAAAAGCATCCGAGCTGCTGAGGGCAAAGACAGCCATGGTGCTTCGGGGGAGGCAGCTCCGCCGCTTCAGCCAGCACTGCAGGCAGCAGCACATCCCGCAGGACAGGAGCACGGCCAGGAAAAACAACACCAGGAACCTAAGGCAGAGGCAGCAGGGGAGGAACAGCACTGTCACCATCTGCAGGCAGAACTGACAGATGGCTGCAAGTCTTCACATTAACGTGTTCATTAACATCATTTGCAAATAGCCCTTAAATGTTGTGGCTTCCCCACCAGCACACTGGACATGATCAAAGTCCCCAGAAACCAATGTCTCACTCCTGAGTGCTCAGCAGTGAGTGCTGGCTGGAAATTCAAACATTTCTTCCTGAAATCATCCATCGTTTTTTCCCAGCTCAGTTGTCAGCGTACAGTGAGGAGGATATGGATAAATGATTTCCATTAGTTTGTAACAGGGACAGCCCAGGAGCAATGCTCTCTAGCTATCAGTCTCTCTTAATGCCTTTCTCTCCATATATCCATCAAAGAATATTATTTGCCAGTCTTTCCCCTTAAAGCAGACCTGAAACTTACCACACATACCAGCTGCTAAAGTTTTCATCGCTCTGCCCAACACACCTAAAAAGGGAAGAATAAAAAGGACTTTCAGCCCAGCATGAGGGGACTGCTGTACCCACCCCGGCACATCTACCAACACAAAGACAAGCATCCTCAGTAAGAAGAAGATTGAGAAGATTTCTCCCATGAAGGGAGCCCATTAAAAATTTCTCTGTGTGGATGGGAGCAATGCAGATGATGCAAGAATAGAGTGCCACTTGTTTGCCTTTCAACACTGACACCCGCCACCAATGTTTTCGCTGAAAACCCTAAGGGTTTCCAGCCTCCATTTCCTCTTTTTAAAAAATACCCAACCTCAAATGGCCTTTTCCTGAAAGTACTCATTCCTCTGCTGTGCTGGTGTGCCAGGCACAGCACAGCACCCCTGAAAGAGTCTGGGGTGGGGGCAGCTGTGGGTGAGAGAATGAAGCCACACTCACCTCTCGCCAAGCTCACAGTCCGACCCAGAGTCTGCTGGCTGAAAACACACATGTAAATCAGAGAAGGCAGGCATATTTTATTTTTTACAATTTATCTGTATAATTACTGTTCTTAGAGTGGGAAGTTGGAGAGGAAGAGCCGTACAAGTGCAGGTCCTGCAGGGTTGAAACCAGACCCCTCCTTAGGGATCTGCCTCTGTGGGTCTCTGCTTTGAGCCAGCTCAAATCGAAACCAGCAGAGACATCACCAAGAGCTCAATAAATTCAATAGCTTGCAGATGAAAGCTAGGCCAAGGAGAAAGCATTCCTTTTGATGTGAAAGAGGGATAGACAAGAGCAGGGAAATACCAGCTGGAGTCTGAGACCTGCTTACTGCACTGGGTTTTGCTATTCAGAAATATCTGCTGAAAATGCCCCATAACCAAATTCTTGTTCTATGGCTCATTTTTTAGGAGCTAATTGTGAACACAACAGTAAATTTGAGTTGTTTTGACCAGAAGTCTGCTCTACCCAGCATTTTCCTGTTTTCAGATAGTAGTGGTACATCATTCCCAGAATCAGGTTTCAGGTATTGCAAATATGTGAACCTGAAACTTGTTTTTCAGGTATATTTTCTACTCGCAGCTCAAGTCAGTTTGTTTTTGCAAGCCTTGTCGATCTTAGCCTCAGTTTCATATTACCTGTGCAAAAAGTAACCCGAGCAGTTCATCAGTATAATTGAATCCAATTCAATAGATTTTTTTTGGCTGACTGGTATTAGGTGTGTTATTACAGTTGCCCAATGATGCTACAAAATATTCAGCTCAGGTATAGAATTGTGATAACACTGGAAAGCAGAATGAACAAGATAGAGGAATTTAGATTTATTTATCAGAAAAAACATATTAGAATGTAATTTGTAAATAATTATTTTGGATTTCCCTCTGCATATATCTCTTATTTTTGACTTTGAGTCAAACTGGAAGGCTCTGTTCTGAATTAGAAATTTGTATCAAATATGCATAACTGAAAGATCTCATTTTAAATCCCTAATTACCAGGTTCTTTTTGTTATGCAAAGCTCAAGCCACTGTAAACAGCAAGAAATCCTCCCCTCCCCAAATCTCTATAATGTGTCTGATCCTGTGCATACACTGCCTTTCAGTCACTAGTTTCACCAGAGGTCTTTGGCTATAGTCTTTCATATGAAGCATTATCTGTGGAATTTCACAAGTGGCTGAAACCCAAATGAGGAATAGAGAGAAAGACAGAAGCTTCAATTCTTCCAGACATGTCCTTTTAAAACTGAGCTAATTTGTCATGTCACACATGCACCCTGGTGCAGAATATTTTAATTCTTTTTGGGTTTTTTGCACTTCAAGTGATTATTAAATAACAGGTCAAAAGCAAATAGCTGATTGCTGTGATTACATGTATCCTGAGTATTATTCATGGCTGAATGACAACCTCTGGACTCTCTTTTATCATCCTTCAAACCAGCTCAGCAGAGCCACCTGAGCGTAGTTTAACTGCAGCAAAGTGCATCTGCTCTGAGGCAGGAATCTGTCAGAGCAGCCAAACACCCACCAGTGCTGCTGCAGCCCCAAGCCCTTCCATGTCAGTAGCCACAGACAGAATAAAGGACAAGGGCAGTAATGTTTTCTCTGCATTAATTGGAATTTTTATGAGCATTAAATTTTCCCCAAATTCATTAGGTCCTCAAAAAAACCCCCATTCCTTCACAAAATAATAACAGAAAAAAAAAAGCTGATAACTAAATTCTATAAAAGTTGGAATCTTCCCCGGCAAAATCCCTAAAATCAGCTTGGTCCCAGTGAAGGGTTTGGTTACCTGGAAGAAGGTTAAACACAGAACTCCAGCTCCTGCTGTGATCCATGAAGTAAAACACAAAGCTCCAGGTCTCCGCATTATCAGTGTGAGAAACATTGGAAGAGCTTTGTTTGCAGCAGTGTTTTACCCTCGGTAATTTGGTGCTTTTAAAACTTCTCTGCACATCGTGCCTGCAGCCAGAGAACACGTTACCCAATGGTTTCCTGTGCCTCAGAAATCACTGCTAGCCAGGGACTGAATTTGGGTTTGCAGGGGCACAAACAGCTACCAGAAGTTAAAGGAACACTGATTTAAGGTCAGCACCTTGCAGTTGTTTCAGTATTTTCATAGCTGTTCACAAATTCCTGATGCTGAAGCTTAGTTCCATATTAACCCACAGCTGCATTTAACAGGACCTGCTACAAAGAAAGAGTCACTGGTGTCCGTGCAGCGGGGCCACGCTTTCATGGCATGCTGCATGGAATATTGGCATCACAAAAAAAGCAGAAGTAGCTCTAGCCACGTCCTGTGTACTGTGCCTACCACCTCAAACCTGCACCAAGGATGAAGGAAACCCTTCCCGGCCTGAGACAACCACCACTAGCACTGGTACTGCTGTTATGCAGCTGAAAAAACCCCATACATCCCCAATGCTTCTTACAAGGGACCCAAAACTTCACTGCACATTCAGTTCCTGTAGAGCCATCCAGGTGATGTGGTTAAACAGGGGTAGAAGATGGTTTGCACCATAGCTCTGATCCCCTCGGAAGGGACAACCCCAGTTGTTCAGCAGTCAGTAATAGGTTGTCACTGAAGTTTACAGCCCGTGGCTGAAATGCACCATTAACTGTGGTTCTTCCAGATTTTAACACAAAGGGTGTTGCCATGAATATGTTTAGTCATCACTCCAGAGTTAAGCATTATGCTGGGATGCCATTACTTCTGTAATGATTGACAAGGCTGAGCTGCTCTTGAGATGTGCCTCTGTGGCTTTGCTTCAGCTGAAAGGTCAAGAAGTCTAACCAGCTGTGATATACATGCACAACACAGGTTTGTTATTTAATGTTCAACTTTTACATAAACCCAGGCCAAGCTCTGGTGTTCTCTAATGTTTACTTTCAGCTCAGCACTAATGAAAGGCAAGCCCCTGAAATGATGCCCGCTGAGAAAGCATCTCTCATGATGGTGCTAAGTGCATGTGCTACACAATATAAATGGTCTGAACATGCTGTCCTGCTTCACACCAATCTTTTTCAGTGTTGCTCAACAATAAATTGCCAGACCAATTTCTTAGCTATTTTCTTAAAGAAAAAGCTCCTGCAGTACAAAAATGTGCACAGCCTTGCTGGGAACTATGTAGCTCTTAAAATTTCAGGCTTCATTGAGGTCATCCATCATTGAACTAATTTCAGTCTTCTTCCTCTCACAATTACTTCCCTCATGCCAGCACCCAGGGTACTTTCAATTTAGAGCCACCAAATGGATTAACTCCAGTGTTTCAGAGGGCAGGTGCCTCAATGAGCTCCTGGTACTGAAAAATAACACGTGGCATCTGTTCTGGATCTATTTCCAGAAGAAAAGGGAAAGGATTGAATTCTATCACTGCTCAGCTCTTGGCCTTGAGGCTAACTTTGATGTTTTCTTCTGGTTGGACCCATACAGGGATTCCAAGGGATGGTGGCAATTTGTGAAGCCTGTCCTGCACTCTCTGCACTAATGCCAAGAGGAGAGAGAGTTGGCTTAAAGGGGGTCCATGAATAACCCTGTCTTTTGCTTCAGGAGGGATGCCAGTGCTGAAAAGTACTGCTGCTTCAGCAGGAAAACTCTCCCTGTCCATGATCAGCTGAGCAGCTTGAATACATGAATGCCAGAAAGAGCCTCAGCACTTGCTCTAAGAGAGTCAGGACTGGACACCAAAAACCCAGAGTTTTGCACGGAAATTCACGGTGGGCTGGGACCCTCTTGCTGCTCCCTGCCTGCTGTGACCCATCTTTCTGGACAGCTCTGTGTCTGAGGGCTAGCTCCAGTCTGAGGGATTTCTCCAGGTTTTTGTCATCCCCCCACGAGGAGATATGTGCTCACATACTTGCACACACACACATGAAGATAACCCCTGCTCACTCCTCCTCTACTTACTGGATGAAAAGTTTGGTGTCTTTTTCCTCCTCAATTATATTCACCTCATTGGAGGCCTTGGGAGGCTGCTCCCTGATAGATGTTAACTTGTGGCCATTAGATTAACATGCTGTTATTTCCTCATCACCTCATGTAGTTGCTAGGTGACAAATGCATCTCCCAGGCAGCAAGGGAACTACCATACAGCAATTTATGAGTGCCCATCATCGCTTTCCTTAAAATGCCTGGTCCTTTCAGCGGGAAGATGTGCAGTTCTAGGATCACCCAAAGGGTGACTTGTAGAGTTGCCACAGAAACCACCTCCACTGGGGGCTGGCTCTTGCTGGGTTTCATGAAAGGCAGGAAAGGGAATGCACGGTGAGGGGACAGGAGGAATTTGGGAGGAGCTGATTTACCTGGTCAAGTCTGAGAGGGCCAGGGTTGTGTCAGGGGTCTAAATTTCAGGAAATGGGCTCCAGATTGTATTTGTGTCCACTAGAAGAGATGGCCTATGCTTCATTGAGTGTCATACAATTAATTCCAGACATGCTTTTAGACTGAGCCAAAATTTCAGGGAACATCCTGGGGACTTCTGGATTTTGGTAAGGGTGGGAAGCAATTCACTGGCAAACAGAAACCCACATAAAACACCTGGCAGCCTGTAAGCATAGCTAGCAGCTTAAACTTGTTTCAAGCTCTTCCTAGGCTGCCCTCAGAGCATTTGGTGGTTGCTGGGGATTACTTTTGGGAAAGCAATCGCCTTGCTAGGTTCTGACCAGCCTCCCAGAACAGTCCAGAATAAGACTGTAAAGAGTCAGAAAGAGAAGAAGGAGCGTGGCAGCAGGAGAGATGGGACAGAATGGAGAACACACAGAGACATGGAAGGGAGACAAAGAACATCAGGGCAGTCCCACTCTCTGCATTAAGGTCAACTGACAAGGGTTAAGCCTGTGTTCATTTTTTTATGCTGCAGTGTTTCCACATCATCACCACAATCAATTCTTGCTTCAGTTCAAGGCCACTGGGATCTCTCCCCTCCCTACTTGACTGCATCACCACGACCATCTCAGTCTTTGCTTTTGCAGCTACATCCTTGGCATTGAGGCTTGGTCAGGCTCCCACCATCCCTCCTGGCCTGGCCTGGGACCACTCAGCAGGAAAATTCGGTTTAGCCCAAGGGAAGAGCAGAGCAATGGGGAGGACTGAGCATTTCCTCTCTGCAGCGGGAGAACTAAAACAGCTTTGGTCTCATCCTCTGTAAATAATGCCACAAGGAGCTGCTCGTTCCCTACACACACACTGAGATGACTAAACCCAGCACTGGGGAGAGCTTTTTAAGCTAATGGCCAGTGCTGGCATGGGAACAAATGAGGGCAAACCAACCATGAATAAACTGAGGTTGGAAACGCAAAGAAGGTTCACCCCATCCAGAGCAGCAAGGTTGAGCAGCAGCTTGTCTGTGGGAGGAGTGTGGGCATGAAACCAAACAGCTCCTGGGACACAAGTCAGTGAGCTCCCACACGAGATGTAACTCCTTCAACAGGACTTGCTGACCCAGGGAGCCTTTTCCCCACCCCATGCAACCACCCCAGTGGATCCTTAGACCCTCAAACCCCTCCACATGCACAGGAGTCAGCCAAAGTGGCCCTGGGCTGGAGCAAGCGAGGAAGGATGAACATTTTACCCCAAGCCTGGTAGAGCTGGCACAGCCTGTTATCTTTCAGAAGGATTATAACCAGTTGCTGGTCCCTGATGAATGCAGCCCTTTGTGAGCCCGTGCGGGGGATGTGCTGCACAGGGGGAAGGAGAGACTCTGCACATGGATTTAAATGAATGTGCACAAGGATGACATTGTTCTGCTGCATCCTCCCCAGGAACGAGGCTTCGGAGGTCACCCCTCACATCTGAGAAACTGCAGCTACCTCATCATGTTGGATGGTCCAGAGAGCCTTTTTGTTTGCCTTGGTGTGCCAGTGGGGAAAATCCAGCAGGGAATGGGGTCGGTGAAGGCTTCTGCCTGGCAGGAAAATAAAGAAAAAGGAATCTCCTCTAGGTTATGTATAAGAGATTTCTCCATATTCCATGCTGAGAACTACAGAAAGCTGAATTCAATACACAGGTGTTCATAGATTCATGAAAGTCAAAACTTTAAAACTACCCAAAGTCCCAGCATTGAAGTTTTGTGAGAAATTGCTGTGACTTGTCCAAAAACTGCTGTTCCAACCTTATAATGAACACCTGAGATAAATACTGTAATAACTGAAATATTAAGCTTATCTGAAAGGACTGAGGCAGGAGCTTTCTTGCTCTGGAATTCTTGCACTTTGAGAATGTATATTTCCAGCAAATATTTTGTGTGTGCTGATGACTTTGGTGCTGACTCTGCTCTCACCATTAAATACAGAAATCAGAGTGCAGTGATTTACTGAGAGCTGTGTTGTGTGGGGCAGGGTGAAGCTGAAAGAGTTTAGAGAAGTGGCTATTTCCTTTCTTCTTCCAGGTTGAGTTTTGTCTTTAAAACTTAAGTTGGATCGTAAAAAAAAAAGGAAAAAGGTGTCAAAATAACAGGATTTGGGTAAGCCTAGCAGTTGTTTCATTGTATAAGAATTCAGAGTTCAGAATTACATTTTAAGATCTACTGCACCTGAGAAACATGTGATAGTTGGGCTTCTCTGATTTCTGGCTTGAACATTAGAACATGAGATTATTCTGAGCTCTATCACTGATTTCCCAAATACCCAGGAACTTCTGTGTGTTACAGCCCATCTGGAAAAAGAGTTTAAGAGATCTTTCATCTCAATCTCTCTAGATACCACTGTACCTCACACAGACCATATCAGAAATCAGTTCAAAGGGCAGGATAACACTCAAGAGTTAAGAAACAGAAAAGCAGAATTAAGGTTAAAGCTGATAAAATTAAAAGCAGCTTGAAAAAAGAGAAAGATGAAGTATACCAGAAATACGAAGTTATCACCAGTAGAAATTTTTCTCTTTTCATTTTC